AATTCCTTACATATAGATACATTCCCTGTTTATAGAACATAATTTAGCAACACATTAACACCTTTAAAACTTAACTTTCTTCCAACACCCTGGTTGGAATATTTAATAAATACAAAGCAACCAAACTGTATAAAGCATGTCTACTCAAATACCTTCAAATGTACATCAATAGATAAATCAGTAGGTAACATCAGTAGGTCAAAACCATTTGGGAATATTCATTATTAAACCTAAAAGGAATTTTTGGTTAATTTCTCTTTATTGTATGAAACATTTAACTTTTTTGAAAATCAGAGCTATTAAGTTGGCAAACTGGGCAACTTCAATTCTCTAGTCTAAATTTCTTCTAAATTATCCATATTTATTTTAGTAAATTTTGATTGTTGAATTCCCTGAATTTTTGACTTTGTCTCTAAAACCTGCAGGGGCTTCCGAGACAGCCTAGTGGTTCTAAATATAAGATTAATATGCTAAATCTAAATCTGATCTGATTTTGATTTTCCTCCTAAAAGCCTAGGATTCCTGATCCCCCACTCCTCCTTCTTCTTCCTCCTTTTCCTCTTCCTCTCCCCCCCCCTTCTCCTTAACTTAGATCATCCAATGCATCCATTTAAACCTGGAGACTGGGTGTTTTTAAAGAAGTTGGGATCGATGGCCACCTTGGATGAGAAGTGGAAGGCACCATTTTAAGTTCTCCTTCTTCCTTGATGTTCCAATTTACATTTTATTTTTTTTACTCTTAAAGTAGAAAGCATCCTTGCTTTGTAAAAAATGATTGATGTAGAAATAGTGGAGAATATTCAGACTATGTTCCCTGTAAAATATGGGTGTATTGCTAATAATGATTCATTACCTTTTTGTGGTTTGGAGAATCATAAAAACTGGGTGGGCATTGTCTTTCTGTAGAAGGATTCCTGGGATTTTAAGACCAAGTGCACATCTGCATATCCCATTAAAATGTTGCCAGTTTTTAAAAATTACTTTAATAAATTTACAATTAAAAAGATAAAAATATATACAAACTAAAAATAATTAAAAATTGCAGAATAGGAAAAATAGGATAATTACAAAGAATAAAAATGTATAGTAAAGAAAATAACTTCCCCTTTAACACAAGTACAAACTATTTTAGTAACTTTTTACCTTTTTTTTTTTTTGAAGATTAATTCTTTCCATAACTCATCTCTTATCTATAAACAAATTCTTAAAACTCATCATTTCAGTCCTGATCAGCAAAAGTCTGTTAAGGGTTAGCAGAAATAACAGCACATCTATTTGATCAAATAAACCAAAATTTTATTTGTTCTTTTTTACTTTTAATAATTTGAATCCTGACCCTTCAAATAATGTCTTAGAACTTTATTTCTTTTCATTTACAATTGTTCCTTCTCACAAAATCCTTCAATCCTTTTTAACAATTCCCTTTTGCAATTTCAATAATAGGAAAGTTATCCAGGTCACTCTTTTGGTTTGTTATTTGTATATCCCTTTAAATTATTAAGATACAAATCAGTTTCATTTACATGTCCAGTGTAGCATCTTTTTCCATATCATTCTTCTAGCCTGTCATTTTTAAATCCATTTTCTGATAAGTCTCAGTCTTGTCGGATAAAATAGATTTCTCTTCCATAACTCCTTTTAAACAAAATCAAAAGTTAAAGGGCCATTGTTCAAAAATATCCTTCAGTATGTTCAATGTTAAAATAGTTTCCTCCATTCTTATTATATGTTATTCTCCTTTCACTTAATCTTTAGTTCCCTCTAGTTCCCTCTAATGTCCAATCTTAAAAATCCCATCCTATCACATTGTAGACAATCTCATGAGCTCTCCTGAATGGGAGAGAAATTATGAAGAGCTTGCCAGCTCTTCATTCTGCCACAATCATCGCCATTTTCACCATTTTTCTCCTGGAAGTCAAATCCTTCCAGATTTTTTAAAATTAAAAGTGTTGAGGTCAGCATATGAATTTCAAAGGTTTGTGATGGTACTTGGTTGAAAGAAAATTGTGGGAACAGGCATGAAGAGAATAGATTCAAGAAAAGCAGGGTTACTGCTCAGTTCAGGAGACAATGTGCATGAATTAATTACTGAGCTGGCTTGGATAATTTACATACATTAAAGTAGATTTTATTGAAATTGCCCCCACCCCATATTCTAATTTCACATCCTCATTGGATTAAATAAGAGATGCACCTCTTTATACTTTTCATGAAAAAATGAGTACTAATTAGTAGATGAAATAGATGAAGGAATGGCAGAATCTGGGGATGGGGTTAAAAAAGGATTCAGCCTAGAATCCCTATGTAGCCATGGGCTGAGTTCACTCCCCTTAAATTCAGTTGATACTTATCTAACTCCAAGCAGGTGCCAACCATTAGTCGAGAAAATTCCTATGTATAGCAATAAATTAATTTAATTGGATCTTCACATGTAGACCTGGTCTTTCCTGACTGACAAAAAAAAAGCTGTTTCATAGTTTTACAAGTTCAATCAAGTAATTTTAGTTATGTAATAAATTAAAATCCAAAAGGTTTATTGACCAAGGTGTGGCATTTGGTTTTATATCCCTGTTATTTAGTAACCATAGTTTTTGAAACCCAATTGTCAGTAAATCAGTGCTGCCTCCCACACACACGAAGCCCCCACTTTGCTTCCAGAGAACTGGCAGCTTTTGAATTATTTCTCCAATTTGCTTCTGTGCAACTGCTTTGAAAATGAAAAGAAAATTCATATCCAATCTCTTCCTCCTCAAAAAGAAACCTGAGGCGATTTGCTAAAATATTCATGCCCAGGACCAGAGAACAAGAGCAATTGAATGAGACACAGTTTGGAAAAAACTGTTCCCTTACATTTCACAGATTCTTTGTTTCCTAATTGTTGGTCACTCAGTGAGGCTCCGGGCACAGTAGTTGCTGTTGTAATGGAAGTGCTGTCTCCTCCTTGGTCCTCAGGAATGTCATAGGTCAGAGAGTTAGGCTGCTCATTTATTTTTCTTCCTCTCTTCAATTGTGTCCAATTCTCAGAGATCACTTGGAAAAGTCCCTGTAATTTTCTTGGCAAGGTTTTTCAGAAGTGACTTGCCATTGCCTTTTTCCTAGGGCTAAGAGAAACTGACTGGCTCAAGGTCACCCAGTTGGCTTTGTGCCTAAGGCACAAAGGGATTAGAACTCCCAGTTGCTAGTCCGATGCCTTAACCACTACACCTGGCTCTTCTTAACCACTACATCAAACGATATTTGGACAGAAAGGTGCAAGCAAAATATTTATATTGCAGGTGAATAACACATTATGAGCCACTGTGGCACAGTGGTTAGAGTGCAGTACTGCAGGCTACTTTGGCTGAGTGCCGGCTGACTGCAATTTGGCAGTTCAAATCTCCTCAGGCTCAAAGTTGACTCAGCCTTCCATCCTTCCAAAATGGGTAAAATGAGGACTCAGATTGTTGGGGGCAATATGCTGACTCTGTAAACCGCGTAAAGGGCTGTAAACACTATAAAGCGATATATAAGTCTAAGTGCTATTGCTATTTATTGATCCAGTTGTTTGTTTGTTTTGTGTCTTCAAGTCAGTGTTAACTCCTGGCAACAGCCTAGGCTAATCCCTGCAGTTTTTCTAGCAAGATTTGCCCTTGCCTCCTTCTTAGGATTGGAGATAGTGACTGGTCCAAAGTCACCCAGCTGATTTTGTGTCTAAGGCAGGACTAGAACTGATGGTCCACTGTTTTCTAGCCTGCTACCTTAATCACTGTACCAAATTTAGAAGACCCAAATTTATACAAGTGTTAATGGGTTTAGTTTAAAGAGCTTCTTATTTATTAGATTTCTATCAAGTTGAAGAATGAAATAGCCCAACTGATAATACAAATATAAAACTGTCTAAAATCATGAAAAGGATCACAAGGTTCAAAGTTCAAAGCAAAAACAAAACAAAACACCCTAGCTGCAGAGCAGGCACATTTACTAGAGAAGGAAAGCAAAATTTTGTTGAAAGTTTTGCTTAAAAAAAATTAAAAAGCCAGCCGGGTTTTCTGCTGCCATCTAGTGGCCACCTGGATTTTTGCAGGGCAGATCTGGTTGCTTAACTAAGACCAGAGTATGAATGCAATTAACATTGCAATTGCCTATATTAGAAAGATATTTGAAAAGGCTTGATAAGCAGTCTCTCCAGCAGATCTGTACTTTGGCTCCTTGCTCCTTTATATCAAGTCCAAAAGTCAGTAGAATCTGAGGATGAGATTATGACCTCCCATTCTGTGGGATCAGGCAAGGAATATACCATTTCCTCCAATCTGGTACCCTCTTGCTTTTAGATTTCCTACAGTTCCCTGCCAGCATGGAGTCCAGTATGTCAAGAGGGCAACAGATCGGGAATGGCTTCTGCAAGCTTCAGGGCTCTCTTCTCTGTGAGCAGCCACAGAACTATGACAGCATATAATCAGAAAGGAAAACAATTCTGATTTCTGGGTGCATTATTGCACTGTAAATCAGTGTTTCTCAACCTTGGCAGCTTGAAGATGTTGTGGACTTCAGTTCCAAGAATTCCCCAGTGAGCATGCTGGCTGGGGAATTCTAGGAATTAAAGCCCACACATCTACAAGCAGTCAAGGTTGAAAAACACTGCTGTAAACACATACAAGATATTCAAGGTTTCCCAGCTGCAGCTTTGGTTAGGAATAGATTCCATGTAAAAAGGGCATCCTGACCTAAATTAACTGATCATTTGTTCCAGATTACTTATGTCAGAATGCTTATGACCCTGGAAAGTTTGGATCTTTGTCCCAACTGCTACAGCTTCCATGGCTTAGGCCACGAAGCTTACTCCAGGCCTGTGAGATCTAGAATGTGTGTTGCCTGGCAACACTACAGCTATTCCTACATCAATTAGAGACCTGGAGGTGAGGGGAAATACTAGAAGTACCACGCTTTAGCAAATTACATATTAGAAAGTTCTTTTCATTGACTTTCACTTCTATCTCAATCTTTAAATCTTAGAAACTCTCATGGAGGCAGCAGCCACAAAAGATAAGATGGCTGTGCATCCCAATGACACAGAAAAGCCAAAATCTTGCAGGGAGAAGTTTCTTCAAGCATGGAATGAAAAGCTGAAACTCCAGCCATGTCCCATATTGTATTCTCAAACGCTAGCATCTCAGTCGGTAGTTGATATTTCTGTCCAGGAAAAGCGAACAAGGAACAACAAGGCCCTGTCAGATTTAAAAACAAGGGCCTCATTGCAACATAATGAAAATGCCGTTTACTTTGTGAAAGTAATGCCTCTTCCTCCAGAGCAAATGCATCCAACTCTTGGGGGTGTATATGTAGGTGAACACTGCCCACAGCAAGATACTGTGGCATCTTGGCATAGCAACCATGATGCTACAGACAAGAAGGTGCCAAGTGGATCCATGAAAAATGTTGAAGAGGAACTCCTACAGATTTGCGTTTCTGATTTACTGATGGAGTCTCCAGTGCGGAAGAGGCCCAGATTGCTGCCACCTCACCGAAAGATGCATGTGGAAGTATGGAAGAAAGAGGCCTCACCCCCATTGCAGGAGCATGCAAGAAATCCAGTCCCGTTGGCATACAATCACCTGGTAGATACCATGTCAATGACTAATCTTGCTGACCTCCCTGAAGTGGAATCTTTTTATCGCAGGTTTAATCCTAAATTAAAACAAAGTTATGATAGGAAGAACAGTCCAATCCAATCAGGAACCAACGGCTTTTTGCTTGTCAGGAACACAGACGTTTCTACCTCTCAAGAGACTGTCAGAAAAATTGCCAAGCAACATCAGCAACTGAACTCAAAGAGTTCTCCCTTACCTGATCTTATGGTGGCAAACATAGAATCCATGAACTCTCAAAATATCCACCTGCCACCAAAGAAACGATACACTCATGGCTGTCTCTAAGAGACCTGTGGCTAAGTTGGCTGCATTTATGCTAGATGTGCCTAAGACCAAAGCTTTTAACAAATCTTCCAAATAATAACTATAAATGAATATATATTAGATATTTTAGAGTGCTTAGTGTAAGATGTTACTTTTGTATTTTTGAAATAAATGTTTACAAGATGTAATTGAAATTGGTTTTCATTCATTCTTAGTAGCTTTAGAAATAGGATATTAATTTCTCCCCTTTCCACCTGCCAAAACAAGATACTTTGAAAAACACTCCTGTCCACAGTGTGGCTCCAACAGCGGTGAAATTGAATTGTCCATTCTTACTTGCTCACAAACAGGAATTATTTCAGAATGTAAGGGATATTGTAGAAATGTAGAATGTAATCTTCTGTATATAAAATGTGACACAATAACATGTGCATTTTTTGAATACTTTTTTCAAGTTTGATGTCACTTTATTGGCCAAGAAAAGAATCTTGTATTCTAAAATAAGAACGTGTAAATGTCCCTTATACCTACCTAGTTCTGTACTATCTCATGTTTTCAGGCTGTAGTCTGAAACAGAGGAATTGAATCTGGGAGAGTGAGTACAAATCAGAGGTGTACCCCTGACATTTTCAGCCTTTTACTTTGTTTCATCTGGTAAACATTGTTTTCTAAAGAGAAAAGCAGTGGCATATATTTTTCACAATGGATATAGGAAATAAGAATATTTGTCTACAGTTTCATATTCCCCTTTAAGTTGCTTTTCATCAGCTTACATCATTCAACTTTGGTATTACTTGAATTTTATTCATTTTTTTTTAGTAGTTGCAGTCCCTACTCCCTATGCAAGAACCACATATAAAGAGGACTGAAATAATCCCTAGGCATTCTGGGAAACAAGATAGTATTGGAAAGAGGCAAATTCCTCTGATTCACTGGGATATAAACAAGAGAGGAAGAAAAGCACAATTAGACTTGCAAGGCTGACAGCAGCCCTTTAAAGTAGACAAGCTTGGGAAGATATCACAGGAAGACTACAACTATATTTCATTGAACATAACAAGTTATACATGTTTTATAACAAAGCCTTGAGCAAGACCACTTGTTAGTCACTGAGGTGTTTACTAAAGTTCACTGGACCACAGGAAATGGGAATCACGTTGTCCTGTACCTCAGATCATAGTTTATGTTTCTCAGTCTTGGCAAGAATAATTTGGGTCACTGTTCAACATACCAGTACCATTTTCTCTAGAGCAGTGGTGGCAAACGTTTTGGGCTTGGCATGTCAACATTTCAGAAATGCCGATCTTGAGTCTGCTGGCATGCCAGATGGTGTCCCGAAACAAAAGAGAAACAATTCTTTACGTGTTCATTTATTTTAAAAAATACAATCCAATTGTGTGTGATTCCCAGGATCTACTGTGCACTGCTTAATTTCAGGCAATGTACTACTCTTTGTTCACAAGTCCCTGTGGCCTACCTAAGGTTGCTCACACAATTCTTTCATTCTTGAAGTGGCTTCAGAAAATGATCTTTCACGGCCTCTGCAGCCTCAGAAAACTATACAAAAGCATACCTCTTTTCCAAACAATTTTTAGGGGGTTGTGGCTCAATAAGAGCATTACTTTATCAGGAGACCTCTTCAATCTTAAAAAATCACAGTAGAATGGGGTAGGCGTTCAAAACTAGTTGTTGGGTGTTGGTGAACACTAGAATGTCACCCAAAACATTGTGGCATGTTGCCTTTGACCGACTTGTCACCATCACTGTCCTAGAGAAGCACTATATTATATAATCCTTTGCATAGAATTTGGAAATAAAGTTAACTGACAAAGATCCAGTCAAGGTAGTTATGTGGAATTTACTGAATTAGATTTACTTTCAATGGATTGTAACAGGGCCCACAATTACACAGAAAAAATGCATTAGTGATTGTAATGAAAACTTGTTATATATTTGGCCTACAGCATCTCTTCAACATGGAAAACATGTACTTTGAAATATACAGTATTTGGAGAAACTGCATACCGTATTTATCGGCGTATAACACGCACAGGCGTATAACACGCATCTTCATTTTAAGAGGGAAATTTCAGGAAAAAAATGCGGCTGTGATAATATGCGGCGGGCGCAGCGCTGACATCACGTCATGACGCTGCGCCGCCGCTAGGCACTATTGGGAACGGGATCCCTTAAAGAGGATTCCGCTCCCTGGACATCGGCGTATAACACGCATACATCATTTGCCCCCTATTTTCAGGGGGAAAAAGTGCGTGTTATACGCCGATAACTACGGTATATGAAAAGGGATTTTGCAAAACTACTTGTGAAGGAATGGTTTAGATTATTTTAAATTTAAAGTTAAAAGGATAGCAAAACATGAAAAAAAAATCAAAACATTCGGAATTTATAGACATTCTAAACATAAAAAAAAAAATTCTTGGCCACAAGAAAAAATAAGTAAAGGTACTGTTTTATTTCAAGAAAAATTAATGTAGTGTTCACATACAAATCAAGTTAAATTTGATTAGATTGCTCACATCTGAACAGCTACAAAAATAATCTACCCAGTCTGCCAAATCATTTAACAGTACTGCAATACGACAAAAGCTTCATTGGAGCAGCCACAGGGATTTAAAGTGACATATATTATTTCAATCATTTTTTAAAAAGCACACTTCTAAAATATGCCTCTGTTAAACACCCATTATGATTTTAAAAATGTACAAAAAATAATAATCTTAGTGGAAACAGTACTTATCCTTAAAAGTCTGTTTCCAAAACAGTAATTTTTATAATTTAAAACCCATCCCAGTACAAATATATATATATATATATATATTTAAAAAGGAAATAAATTGTGCAAACACTTGAAGAATTGCAAAACACAGATCCAGAGGCATAAAAAGGAAGATGCTAGAGTGGTTCCAGCCTCTTCACAAGGCGGATAACTCAAGATAGGTACGAGCTTCAGGTGAGGCACAATGAGGAAAAAGATGCAGCCCTTCCATTTTATCCAAAGCCCTGGCCAGGGGATGCTTCTCAGCCCCGACGATGATGGACCTACGACAGTCGTGTTATGGCACTCCTTTTAAATGCCCAAACCTCACAAACGACACACCAAGGCACAATCATTCTGTTGGAAAGAAAAAAGCAGTTACTCCACATAACTTGAACATTTAACATATCATTATTCAATTTACAACAATCTGCCAACCTAGTGTGATAACCAGGTGTGAGGGATTTAGAAATTCTATGATTTCTAGCTAGTTTATACGGTCAGTTGACTAATGAAACACTGAATTGATCTGGGCCAATGCAGGTACTGACCACATGAGTGAGTAACTCTGGATATTGTGGTCTCAGCACACCTAACTAGCTTGGGCCAGGCTGTGTATTTAATATCTGTAGATTTTAAAGACCTGTAAGAGAAATAATCTATGTACTACTTGCTGGTATTTCCTCAAGCTCAAATTCTGTATCAGTGACACCATTTAACTTATCTTTTTATTTACACAATGGTGTTTGATTCATCCAACAACTTCTAACTGGGCTGAGATAGTAAGAAACTAGTCCAAGAAATGCCAACGCCATCCCTCTAGCAGCTCCTGCTAGAAGCGTTCGACTGTTGCTATGCCTTTTGGAGAAAGGAACTAAACTATTCTTCCCAGAAGGAAAAGAGAGGGCCAAAAGGCTCTCTTGGTATGTTGGGTTTTGTAGTAAATTCTGGCTAAGTTCCCAGTAGCCTGTCTTAAAGAGAGAAAAAGAATGTAGGATGAAAATGAGGAATAAATCCTCTCCATTCATTTGAAGAAAAATAAGAGTCTGGGAAAAAAAATACTGAACAGTCTTGTTGACAACCATAATGTCAAGAATTGTCATGACAAGGCTGTCTTTCAAGAGCAAAATAGGTTTTAAAAACAGCCTTTTCTTCTTCTGGATATAACAAGATCTAAGATTTCTGTCAAGATATCAGGATCCAGTAAGTGGACAAGGAACTTAAAAAAAACCTGTGACTTTGTGGCTGTATATACTGACTGCAGCAACAATTCTGTATGCTTAAAGGGGAAAAGATTAATCCTCACAATAAAGTATGGATGGAGAAACTGGTGAGGCTAGCAGAAATGGCTGTATCAAATGCTTTAATTGAAAAATACATCCAGTTTTGTTTCTACTTGGAAACCACTTCTAGACTGAAGACAGGGGGAAAAATGAAATTTTGACTTTAGGATTTGCTGATTAGACAAATCTGTTGTTATAGAAGTGCCTAGTATGTTAGATATGTCGAAAAAGCAAGGTTGTACCTTATTATTTTTGTTCTACTGCTCTGAGAAAAATTGGAGGTTAACACATTTTTTCTTCTTTTTCTCTCTACCATACACTTCCCTCTTCCCCTTTTTTCCCTTCCCCATTTTCCTACTGTCTTTATTTTTGTTTGTATTTATATTATGAAAATTTAATAAACATTTTTTACAAAAAGGTATCGGGACACAATTCAGGCTTTCAGTGAGGCAAGGCAAGTTGGTGCCTACATTTCCTCCCACTCTGGTGCAAATTGCAGGGGTACTACAGCTGAAAAGGCATCTGGATATGAGGCCCAGACTGCTGAAATCCTCTCTAGAATAAAAAGAGCTCTGGAGATGCACATATGTTCCTTATTGGGAAGAAGAACAGCAGCATATAAATTTTACTAATAAATACGTACTCCTCAACAGCTGATTTTTGTGAGCAGATGGCAGAATTTGCCACTTGCAATTAACTGGGAATTGAGGTTCCATCCTGCTCTGAGCCCTAAATGCAGCCTTTTATGGATTTAAGCCATGACCAAACTTCACTCTGGAGTTTAATTTTTCGAACTGCCTCTTTAAGATTGAAAAACTTTCAGAACTGCAAGCCAACAAGTTGCTGGCAGAATTTTTTTTTAAGGGAACTGCATCTTTTCAGCTTTGTAAGATATTTATTTATTTTGATAACTTTTTGCAATATACAGCAAAGAAGTGGCTTTAGAGTTCTTTTTAGAGTTT